GAAATCACCTTATCCTATGCTGTGGAGGCAGAGGGACTGGGAGATCTTGGAGCTGCCCCAATGACTGTTCGAGTACTATCTGTGTGGTTTGAAGACTCGGTGTTATTGGCAAAACTCATTCCTTGCTGGCTGTGTGACTGGGGGCTCAGGGTTTTGCTAGCTGTCAACTGGAGGCCGTAGTCAGGTCCCAGAGGCCATTTGCAGGGGTTCCTACGATCCACAGCTCTGCAGCTGTGACACAGCTGATGACCTTCCATCACTGTGACAAAATGTCCTAGATTATCAACTTATCTGGAGAGGAGGTTTGTTTAGATCACAGTTCCAACAACGCATGGTTGTTGGTTCAGCTGCTTCCGGGCCAGTGGCACGGGAACACAGCAAGGTCACACGGCACAAAGAGCTGCTCATGTTGTAGCAGCTGGGAAGCAGAGAGAGACAGGAGGGCACCAACGTCCCCTTCGAAGACACACTCCCTACCCTTCTAAAGGCTGCTCCATCTCCTACCAGTGGCACAGGCTGGGGGCCAGGCTTCACCAGGTGACTCTTTGGGGACATGGATTGAAACCACAGCAGCTGTATATGTCATCAAGCCATCAGACTCTGCAAAAGTCTGAGACAGAATTGGATAACGTCACATCACCATAGCAAGGACGGCCCAACACCTTTGTTGGAAAGTCAGCAAGGAGCCAGAGGGACAGCTCGGTGGTTATGAGCACTAGCTGGGGTCCCAGAGGATATGGGTTCGAATCCCAGCACCTCACATGGTGGATCACAACCATCTATAATTGCAGTCCCATGGGATCCAATGTCCTTCTCTGTGTGCATACATATGTACAGACAAAACACCCATATACATAAATGTAGATTATGAGAAGCAAGGTCACAGGTCCGGGGGCTCCTCTCCTCAGCTCTGTAATATCTGGCTAACAAAAGCAATTGCAGGAGAGATGCATTTGGGTTCTCGGTGAGGTTAGGCCTAGCATGGTGGGAAAGGCGTGGTGGCAGGAGAATGGGCAGCTAGTCACGTCGCATCTGCAGTGAAGCAGAGGTGGACACTGGCGCTCGGCTTGCCCTCCCCTTTTATTTCACCTGGGAACCCAGCCACGGAATGGCAACCGCTCATCCCCGGAAACCCCTTCCCAGACAGAGGTGTGTCTCCTAGGTGACCCTAAGTCCCTCGAGTTAGCCACCAAGCTCAACCATTGTGTCTAGTCCACACTCACCTGGAAAACCACACAGAGATGCGGACACCAGGAGGTGGAAAGTCTCAGCGGTCACACTGGGGTGCCAAGGTCTTCCGCTCTGGTGTCGAACCTTCAGTGCATAGACTGACCGCTAACTCAGTGACGAGGGTTCAGCTGCTTGTCATTGTTCCTTCTCCAGCTACCACCCTGGGGGCTACTGCAGGTGGAGGACACCTGGGGTGCCTGCTAGGGAGGGTGCTAGTGTGTGTGTGTGTAGATGTGTACAGATGTGTGTACAGATGTGTGCACAGGTATGTGTATAGGTTTGTGTGTGTACAGATGTGTGTAGAGGTGTGTGTGTGTACTGGTTTGTATGTGTGCAAGTGTATATAGTGTGTATAGAGGTGTGTACACAGATGTGTGTATAGGTTTGTGTGTGTACAGATGTGTGTAGTGTGTACACGTTTGTGTACAGGTGTGTATACAGGTGTGTGTGCAGGTGTACAGGTGTGTACAGGTGTATGTACAAGTTTGTGTGCAGGTGTATGTATAGGTGTGTACAGGTGTGTGTACAGGTGTATATGTGTGTACAGATCTGTGCGCAGGTGTGTGTGTACAGGTGTGTATGTATATACAGGTATGTACAGGTGTACAGGTGTGTATTATGTACAGGTGTGTGTACAGGTGTGTATGTGTGTACAGGTGTGTATTATGTACAGGTGTGTATGCAGGTGTGTATATATGTACAGGTGTGTATGTATGTACAGATGTGTATTATGTACAGGTGTACAGGTGTGTATTATGTACAGGTGTGTACAGGTATGTATGTGTGTACAGGTGTTTACAGGTGTGTATGTGTGTACAGGTGTGTGTACAGGTATGTATATGTGTATAGGTGTGTATACAGGTGTGTATGTGTGTACAGGTGTATACAGGTGTGTATGTCTGTACAGGTGTGTATGGGTATACAGGTGTGTATACAGGTGTGTATACAGGTGTGTATACAGGTGTGTGGGTACAGGTGTGTACAGGTTTGTATGTGTTTACAGGTGTGTATGTCTGTACAGGTGTGTATGGGTGTACAGGTGTGTGTACAGGTGTGTGTGTGTACAGGTATGTATACAGGTATGTGGGTACAGGTGTACAGGTGTGTATTATGTACAGGTGTATACAGGTGTGTATGTGTGTACAAGTGTGTGTGCAGGTGTGTGTACAGGTATGTGTGTACAGGTATGTGTATAGGTGTGTATGTGAGTACAGGTGTGTATACAGGTGTGTATGTGGGTACAGGTGTACAGGTATGTGGGTACAGGTGTACAGGTGTGTATTATGTACAGGTGTGTGTGCAGGTGTGTGTGTACAGGTATGTGTATAGGTGTGTATTATGTACAGGTGTGTGTACAGGTGTGTATGTGTGTACAGGTATACAGGTGTGTATGTGTACAGGTGTATAGGTGTGTATGTGTACAGGTGTACAGGTGTGTATTATGTACAGGTGTGTACAGGTATGTGTGTACAGGTGTATACAGGTGTGTATGTCTGTACAGGTGTGTATTATGTACAGGTGTATACAGGTGTGTATGTCTGTACAGGTGTATACAGGTGTGTATGTGTGTACAGGTGTGTGTACAGGTGTGTATGTGTGTACAGGTATACAGGTGTGTATGTGTATAGGTGTACAGGTGTGTATTATGTACAGGTGTGTACAGGTTTGTATGTGTGTACAGGTGTGTACAGGTGTGTGTCTGTACAGGTGTGTGTGCCCATGTGTATAAGACACTATGTGCCCTGCTCTACCACTCTCTCTCTCCACCTTATCCCCTAGAGACAAGGTCTCTCACTTAACCAGGAGCTAGGATCTGTCCAGCAAACCCCGTAGACCCCTCCTATCTAACCTGAGCCCTGGCTATGAGTTTATGGGCACACAATGACCACACCCACTCTCTTTTCTTTTAACATGGGACCATCCCAGTTCCTCATGTTCTTACCCACTGAGCCATCTCTTGATGACCCGTCACATGCCCTTCCTCCAAAGCTCACTGTGTGACCTCAGGCCAGTTGCTTGTACCTTCTGTGCCTTAATATTTCCAGCTATAAAACAAAAGGGGGCTAATAGTATCAGCCGCCAAGAGGTGGCTTGTGGGGACATGATGTTTATGGAAAAGTGTGCATTTTGACACACGAAGAGGGCCAAAAATATTGACTATTTTTTTTTTCATTGTTATTGTCAGCTTCGGCCTCCCAGCCATTGCCGACTCACTCTGGGGGAGCCTCCTCTCACTCTGCAGCAACCTTTGCATCCATGGGTATCAACGTGGAGCTTTTTGTGTGTGGTACCTGGGGTGAGGTCTACCCCATCTTCCTGGGCCCACGTTCTTTCTTCTCCAGGAGCCCTTCTTATATGCAGGGTCAGGACTTAGCTGTGCAAATTTAGGGCAATGAGTTGTAAGAGGCATTAATATTTCATGTCTTGCTCTGCTATTCTGCTAAATCGTGTGTGTGGTTTCTGGGAACAGCCAGGCCCAGCTGTTCCTGCTTGTCAGCTGAGCAGGGACAAGTATCTCATCCCACTGTGGCACTGGAGGGCTCTCCCCTCACCGCAAGGGCCCGGAACCATGCAGAGGTGTGACTGCATCTGAGGCACAATAGAGGAAGATGTCTTGAGGACAAGCATCAGGGGACCAGTGCAGACCTGGGTGGCCTGGAAGACACCCATGTGTGTCCTCCATCTTGACCTTGGGAGAAAGGGTTGAATGAAGAGGCTGCAGTATACCACAACAGAGACAGGCTGTAGTGAAGCAACCAAGATTCCTTTCCGGCCGACGTGTTCCTTTGGGGAGAGCGAAAGGACACCCAAAAGGCTCAGGAAGCGGAGGAGATACACAAGGCTCGGGAGGCTTGGGAAGTTCCATAATTCACAGGATCCTCCCTGTGGTTGCACAGCAGTAGCCATTCTCTGGGGAAGAGGAGGCTCTGGGTGGAACTGCCTACAAATTGTATGGAAAGTTTAAGCAAGCAGCTTTCCATGCATGACATCACCTGTGCCGGGCCTGATGACATCCCCTATGCCAGGGCTGATGACATCACCTGTGCCGAGCCTGATGACATCCCCTATGCCAGGGCTGATGACATCACCTGTGCCGAGCCTGATGACATCCCCTATGTCATGCCTGATGACATCCCCTATGCCAGACCTGATGACATCCCCTATGCCAGGCCTGATGACATCCCCTATGCCAGGCCTGATGACATCCCCTATGCCAGGCCTGATGACATCCCCTATGCCATGCCTGATGACATCACCTGTGCCGAGCCTGATGAGTGACATCATCCATGCTAGACCTTTGGGTGATGCAGCTGCTCTAGAGTCACCCTCACTCATATAAGCACCCCCTCATTCATCCTCCTGTAAGGGACCCCAGGAAACTCACTAGTTCACCAAGCCGGGCTTGGGTGGGATTCATTTCTTTAGTCCGTCATTAGTGTCCAACCTGGGATGAATAGCTGTGTGTTCACATCCCTCCAGAGAAAGTCATACCACACACCCTGAGAAGGTTCCCTCCTTCCCTTCCTCCCCGCCGAGGAACCCCAGAGCCCCAACTCGCTAAGGACTAGACAGTCTTGCCTCAGTGATCTGTGCAACAGATTAGCCGAGCAGAGCGTAGAACATGGAGTGAGGTACCACTGGATTTGGATACAGGTCTGTGTTGGCTCCACACCTCCAGGGGCTAGTGTGGGGCTGCCATGGATGACTAGAGCTAAGCACGGGACTGTGAAGAGAGACCGGGTCCCCTTGGGAATGGGGCAGGGGGCGGGGAGCTCAGTTTATTTCACCAGTAGGACCTGATCCCTCTTCTTACTTCGGGCAGGACGGAAACCCACCTTACAGAGAAGCCCCCCCACAACCAGTATCGACAGCATCAGCAGCATCAGCTTCAAGCACCTGAGGACTGAGTCTGCCTTGCCTGGCTGGGTCCTGGACCACCCCTGGCCTTTGAACTGTCCCTCAGCCTCCAGCATTTCTTCAGGGCCTGTGGGGTTGAATTGGGCTATGAGCTCCTGTTCCACGAAACATCTGTAAATGGCTGGCTGGAAGATCTTCAGCTGCTGGCCACCACTCAACGGGTCCATGAAGCTGCTGATGTACTCGCCGGAGAGTTGGTTCTGCCATGTCAGGGCAGTGTCGTTGACTTCCCAGTGGACAGGCCTGGATGGGAGAAGCTCAGGGTCAGACTTCAGGGTCCTGAGAGAAGGGGGGACCGAGGGAGCTGGGGACAACCATGGAGCACTGTAAATGTTACCAGAGGGTGCTGGGAGCTATGGGCCGCCAAGCTTCTACACTTCTACCTCTGACTGGCCGGGTGGCCTGAGCCAAGGCCACCAGTGTCTGTTTCCTCATCTGAGAACGGGGCTATAGCGTCGGCACCTGCCTTGAGGTAATTTGAAAGAACTTTTGGAAAACCAATGCCCTTCATCTGTACTGCCCTCCTCTCTGTTATCTGCACTTGTAATTAACGCCCAGCCACACTAGTGTGCCGGGGATTTCTCAGCCGGGCAGCCTCAGGCCTCCGTCTTTGCTGGGCTATCTGCCTGGAACAATGTCCCTCAAAGCACAGGGCTCTCGTCTGTTTCCATCTCGGCAGGAGTGACCAGTTCTCACAAGGGCCTTCCCCGATTGACTCCCCACTTAGAAGTTTAATCTCCCCCCAACTGCCGCCAGCCCTTTGCAACATTTAAAATACTGGGTTTCAAGCTAAATGCGATGGTACACACCAGGGATCCAGCACTCAGATGGCGGAAGCAGGATGATGGCAAGTTTGGGGCTAGCCTGGGCTACATAGACAGGATATCATGGCAGTGAGCATGGGTAGTAAAGGAGACTATTCATGTCATGGGAGCCAGGAAGCAGAGAGAAATGGGAAGGATGTAGAGACAAGTCTATCTTCCTTGGGCACCCCCCCACCACTGACCTACTTCCTCAGGGTAGACCCCATTTTTTCTACCTTCTCTCCACGGTGCCATTGAATTATGATTTGATCGAGGAGTTCATGTCAGGATTCCTTCCCTAAACCCTGTCAGCTGGCCAACAGGCCTTTAACACTTGGGCTCTTAGGAAGGGGGACCCTTCATACATAAACTAACAATTCGCTTTGTTCTCCCAACTGTTGAGGCTCCTCTAAAAGCTAAGTACACTCGTTTAAGTGTAATGTGTGTGCTTGTGTATGTATGCATGTATACATACGTGTACAGAGGTGTAAGTGGAGGCCAGGGGTCTGTGTCTGGTATCTTTCTCAATCATTCGCTACCCTTTTTTTTTTTTTTAAGGCTTTATTACTTTCATGTGTGTAAGTGTTTTACCTCTATCTATGTGTGTGTCCCACATATGAGCCTGATTTCCATGGATGCTAGAAGAGGTCGTTGGATCCTTTGGAACTGGAGTTACAAACAGTGTGGGTAGCCATATGGGTGCTTGGAACTGAACCTGGGTCCTATGCAAAGACAGCAATTGCTTTTAACTGCTAAACCATCGTGTGTGTGTGTGTGTGTGTGTGTGTGTGTGCGCATGAATGTATCTGTGTAGGTGCATGTATGTGACTATATATGTGAATACTGTGTCTGTGTACATGCATGTGTCTGTGATTGTGCAGGCGTGTCTGTATATGTGAATGCATTATGTCTGCAATTGTGCATGTATGTGTCTTTATGTATGCAGTATGTGGAGTGTAGGTACCTAACAAGCAGGCAGACTTCTGTGAGTCTGAGGCCAGCCTGGTCTACAGAGTGAGTTCCAGGACAGCCAGGGCTACACAGAGAAACCCTGTCTCAAAAAAACGAACATAACAATAAAAATCAGACTCCCTGCAGTTTTACAAACAGAAGACTTCGGGAGTCATTAGAGGAGGACGGAGAAGACTGTCTCCAAGGCTCTTGGGAGGCGCCCTGCACTCCAGGACTCTGGCAGTGGCTGCAGGCAGAGAGACTGTTCCCTGCCTCTAAGACCCCCCCCCAGGCCCCTTTGTGCCACAGAAATGAATCTGTGCCTTCATTGCTTTCTGTCCTCCAAGACCCACTGCTTCTGGGACAGCGGCACCATGCTTGAGACCTGGGGCTCCAGAGACCTTCGAGACTGTAAACTCTCAGCACCTGCTGCTGTCAAGAGTTCAAACCTGCCCCACTGCACAGACTGACCCATTGTTTTCTCCCTTTAAGATGGGCAACAAAGTTCCTCGGGTTTGTCTTCCTCCCTCTCTGCCCAGTCCGTTCTTGGAGGAGGGTAGGACTAGTCAGTGGGAGATGGCCACTGATTCCTCCCTACCGGCTGAGCCACCTTCCCAGCCTTCCATGATCTTCTCAGTTAAGCTCAGTCTAAGGTGCAGGGTCCTGTCCTCGCTAGCATCACCTGAGAGGGACTGCGGGATCGGACTGGCTGGTGGATGTGCCTGGAGGGGGTTGTCATGATTGTTGCTATAAGAGGACCCAGTCCACTGTGGACAGCACCATCCCCTAGGTATGTGGTCCTAGGTAGAATGAGAAAGTTAGCTAACCATGAACCTGTGAGCCCCCAAGCCGCATCCCTCCGTGGTTCCTGCCCTGACTTTCCTCAGTGAGAGGGTGAAGTCAACAAAAACAATGAAGAGAATCACTACTAGCAACCCAGAAGGTTTTGTCTTATGGGCTCCTCTGACCCAGCTGGAGATCATTCTTCTAGCCATTTCTGTCATCTACATTCTGGCACTGATGTCGAACACAGCGATTATACTTGTATTATTCCCGAACCCCAAACTCCATATACCCAGGTCTTCCTTTCCCAGCAATCTCTCCTTCCTGGACCCCCAATGCGCTCCAAGCACCTTCCTTCCAATGTTCCAGAATCTCAAGGGCCCAGAGGAGGTTAGCCACACTTACGTGTGACCTGGCTTTACACGTCATTAGGACTGAGCTCCACAGACTATGGGTGCCTTGCTGGCAGTATTACCGCTTTTAAGATATTGCCCAGCCCCTGCATTTTGGGGTCATCGTGCACCCAAAGGTCCTCCGGCAGCCGGCTACCTGTCTCAGATCTGTGGTTTTGTGGAGTTTACAGTTCAGGCCACCTTGATCTTCCAATTGCCTCTCTGTTGCCATCCCAGGGTGGATGGTTTTGTGCAGGAGAAGCCTGATTAAAAGTGTGCATGTGAACACAACCTTCCTGGAAAATGAACTGTCCATGGTTACTGTCTTCTGTGAGTCACACTCCTGGGATCTGCTTTGGTTTCTCATGCCTGCACTGTTAAGGATGTGCGGGGAAAGCCTTTGGGGCTTGCACATCTCACCTGGTTGCTGTGAGTTTATTCGTTAGGGCTATATAATATCTGTCTACACTTAACCGAAAAACAAGTTCACAGAGAATCATGGGAAATCCTGCTCTATCCTATGGTGACACCCTCACTCAGCCCTCTGATCTACACCTGAGGAATGAAAGTCAAATGAGTGATAGAAAGGTTGGTGACAAAAGACTCAAGTTAGGAAGAAGAAACACCTCATGTGTATCATGGACTCAGGTTGTGATGAAGCTGGAGAGATGGCTCAGTGGTTAAGAGCACTGGCTGCTCTTCCAGAGGACCCAGGTTTAGTTCCCAACATCCACACAGTAGCTCACAAGCATCTGTCACTCCAGTTTCAGGGTTCCAATGCAGTCTGGACTTTTTAGGCAGTAGGCACGTACATGGTGCATGTTCTTACATGCAGGCAAAACACGAATATACATGAAATGAAAATAACTTTAAAGAATGGCCTACTGGAAAACCACTATGACCTGACCGTTTGCTGTATTTTGGCAGTATCCGCCCTTACTCTTTAAAGAAGGGGCATCAGAGCTGGAGAGATGGCTCAGTGGTTAAGAACTCGTATTGCTCTTCCGGTAGCTACATGGCTCACAACCATCCCTAACTCCAGTCCCAGGAGATCTGACGCCCTCTTCTGGCCTCCAAGGGCACTGCCCATACACAGATGCAGGCAAAGCACTAGACGCATAAAATAAAAATAAACCTCTTAAAAAAAAAAACTAAAGAAGGGTTTTCCGGGGTTCCATTAACTTGGGCATCTTTCTTATCATTCTCACACACAAAGGAGATGTGAATGCTGGTGGGCAGGAAGCCATCTACACGGCAGCAGCCGAGTCTTTCATGCATCCAATATCAGTTCACAGGAGCTCTCAATCCCTCCTCCTTTTGTAGAGACAAGGCCTCACTATGCAGCCCTGACTGGCTTAGGACTCCATATGTAGACCAAGATGTCCTCAAACAGAGAGATCTGCCTGAATGTGCATCCCCAGTGCTGGGATTAGAGGCACACCCCACACCTCACTCTTTCGGTCCCTTTAGATCAGCCCTTCAGACTCTGAAAAGGCACACACACACACACACACACACGCATTTAACTATTGCCCTTAATTCTGAATGTTTAAATACCACAAAAGAACTTTAACAAATAATAACAACTCCTCTTTCCCATTTAGGACATATTTTAACATAATTTTATACAATTGTCAGATGGCTTTTCTTCATGTGGAGTGCAACGGCTGTATTTTCTAATAAAATGCTTAGTAGTTATAGCATACAATTAAAAAGAAGAGAACACAATAGTGAACTTAAAATATTCACATTGCTTTCAAGATATTCACAATCTCCACTCACAGAATGCTCTCCTCATCCCTAGTGACTTTACCAGACTATCTCCTAAGTAATGCTCCATTAAAAATGGTCTTTAACAGAGACTAACCCTATAGATTCCTCTATGTGACTCTTGCAAGCTGAGTGAATAAGCTGCCAGAGTTAAAGGAAAAGTGTGATTTAATGGGAAGACCTCAATGCGGCCATGAAAGCCCTGACCGGAACCTTCTCTTCCTTTGATTAGCTATCCACCATGACCAACATCAGCCGTATTTACATCCCAGTTCACTGATGGATTCGGAAAGCCGTGTAGTCAGTGAGCAACGCGGTTCCCTGAATCTTTGAAGACTCTTATTTCCGACAACAAATGGAGAAATCAATGAGTGTGAGACTTAAGTATGTTAAAAACAATCTCCCCACACACACAGTATACTTTGGGACACATTCTTACTGTATGTTTTAGAGAGGTGTGCTCCTGCATCCCTGGCTCCTCCCTGCTCTCACTGACTCCTGATGGCTACCAATGGGGCTGACCTACCACGACACCCCTACTAGCGTGGCACAGATTCACCATGAAGATCCCCGGGACTGGGGACCAGAGCAGAACAGGTGAAAGGACCCCCCCACCTGTAGATGGATGCTAAGGGGCAGGTGAGCCATGTAGATTCTGTCTCCTCTATGAGCCTGAAGTTATCGAAGATGACGTAGTCCCCGCCAGTCAGGTCGCCTCGGCACAACTCATAGCAGGCCTCCAGCTGCATCTCAGGCCTTACTCGGGGGAAAAATGTCTTTGCATTTCCCAAGTAGATCCCACAGGGTACAGGCTCCTCCAGAGGTTCCTTAATATAGCAGAAACCCAGGCGCTTGCGCTCACCCGGGCTCTCACAGTTGCTGCAACCCTGCCATGGTTCCCACTGGGTATATACTGCCTCTCTGTGGCCCAGGTTCAGGCTCTCATTCTTCAGGGGCTCCTGGTCCAGGCTTCTGTGTGTGATATGCAGCTTGGTGATGTCCTGAAAATCAATCTTATACCCAGTCACTTGGGTTCCATTCTTGTCCTGGCACTTGTAGAGGCCTGTGTTGAAGAACGACGGGTTTTGGATAAGGAGACTACCCTCTGGATCTTCTCTGACATTGGAAATGCTGGAGAGGCTAGCAGGGTTTCCATTCGCCTCGATCCCAAAGAAGAACCAGCGAGCCTCAGAGACGCCGCATTCCAAGAGAACGTCATTGTTAGAGAGGAGGGCCAGCTGACATTCCTTGGCCTGGGGACATCTAATGGAAAGGTGGAATCCCAACACGTGGAGAGAAAAGCTGAGCAGTGTCCACAGGATGGTAATCATGGTGGACTGGGAAGGTGGCTGGACCCAGGCCACCAGCCTGGACATTGTGAGGTCATTCATGAACTCAAGCCTCTGTGGAGCAGGGAGGTGAACAAAAGGACTTTAAGCCACCCCCCCCCCCGTGACAAGTTGGGATGTGATTTGTCTGCTCAGGGTCTTTCTGTCACCTGCATTCCCAAGAGGTGATTTTCATGCCTAGGCAGGGGCACTGGTGTCCACATGTGAACATTCAATATACTGTTCCTGCACGTGTAGACCATGTCCCACACACATTGCCTCACTGACTGCCTTGGAACTATGTGGCCCAGGCTGGCCTTGAACTCAGAGATCCACCAGCCTCTGCCTGCCTCTGCCTCCAGATGACGGGATTAAAGACATGTGCCGCCACACTCTACCTTTTTAAAATAATTTTATTTTTCGTGTGTTTGAGTTTTTGTGTCCCATGTGTGTACTGGATCCTGGAGCACAGGAGAGGTGTCAGGTCCCCTGGAACTAGAGTTACAGACAATTGTGAGCCCCCATGTGGGTGCTGGGAACCGAACTCAGGTCCTCTGGAAAAGCAGCCAGTGTTTTTGCTGTTGTTTTGTTTTCAACTTTTGATTCTTTGTGGATTTCATAACACATATCTCCACCTCATTCCTCTCACAATCCACTCTCTGCCCTTGCAACCTCCCCCCAAAATCCAAATTTTAAAGTAAACCCCCCCCCCAAAAAAAGCCAAAAACAAAACAAAAAAATCTTGACCTGGAAAGTGTGGTGCTACCCAGTGAGTCACACAGCACACCCTTTATTTAGTCCATACACCCTTACTGGCAAGTGTTCGTTGCTATGAGTCAGTGGTCTGGCTCGGGGCCTCTGGCTTCTGCTACACTGTCGCAGCTGGGCCCTCCCCGGGCCCTTGTTGCCCTGTGATGTGGAGACCCTGTAGCTTGGGATCTCAGGTCCAGCCCCTTCACACGCTCCAGCAGATGAGCGGGGTGTTGGGGCGGGCTACCTCACAGTCCTAGTTCTGGGCCTGCGTGGTAGATGGGTTGGCCATCCATCTTCCTGCCAGCTTTCCATCACTTTCACCACCTAAGTGAGCTCTCTGGCTCTGCCCCGGCTAATTCACCCAATGTAGCAGACAGCAAGGAGGGCCGGCTCTTCTGCTCTCAGGCCCAGATCGCCCACACTCACTCCACCAGGGCCAGCTCTACTGCTCTGCCCAGGCGAGGTGAAGCGCAGGGCGGGCTCTCCAGATTGCTGCCCTTGGTGAGGGGCAGGGCCAGAGCCTCCCTTCTCATGCCCCCAAGGCCAGCTCTCCCACCTGTCGCTGGCGGCAAGCGATGGAGGGGAGGCCATGTTTCTTTTATCCACATGGTGGCATAGGAGAGAGGGATGGGGACAGCTCCCGCTCTCGCGCCCACGGGCCCAACTCAACTACACTGCCACCAACGGGTCAGCTCTAGTGTGCTGCCACGCCTGCTCTCCTGTGTGCTGCAGCTGGGGAGTGGCAGGGCCAGTCACCCACCTGGTGCAGGTGACAAAGAGTGAGGGGAGGAGAGGGTTTATAACCAATGCTCTTAATCACTGAGCCATCTCTTCAGCCCCCTGACACACCCTAACACCGAGGATAGAGCAGTGGCCAAATCCTTGATGGTCACTGTTCTCATTTCCTGTATCTCTCTGGCCACCCCATTCATGTTAACTTCAGTCCTGTTTCCCGGAGCATTCCAGCCAAGCTTCCTGACCTTTGGACACATTGGTCCTTAACTCTTCCCCCGAGATATCTGCAAACTGCAATTATCTTAAATACGTACATATGATTCACAGTTTCTTCTACCCTAAATCTTTCCCTAAGCACCTTCTCACACAGGAAACTTGGGGTGATTGGGGCATTGTAGTAGAAATCTACGAGAATTGTTGTATCTGGGATAAACATTAGAATGAAACCGTTGTTTAAGCGTCAGAATGAATCATTGTTTTCTAGAAATGCTTTGACCTGTGAAAAATAGTGATTGTTTTCTGCTATCTGTAGCGTTGCTTTTCTGAAGTTTTACGGCCCTTGTGTGACTTTGGTCCTGGAACTAGGGACTGCCCTGGCACTCCTAGCTATCTTGAATTATTGGGAACAGTGCACAGTAAGGACTAAAGAGGCAGGGGTGTGATGATTTCCTTCAGAAAAACACATAGTTAGATCAGGGGCTTTGGTAGGAGGAACTTGTTTTACCCCCCCCCAAATAACTTCTGTGTAACAATCAGTGCATAAGTCTTTGCACACCTGCTCGAGGTTCAGTTCACAGAAACTTTCCTCCTGCTGCCAGAGCCTGAAATTCATCTTGGGGTAACCCTCTTTCTTCATCCAACCCATGCAACACAAAACGCCTGACAGGGCATGATTTTCTACGGTCCATCTACTGCACAGACTCTTGGGAAATATCAAATGCCAGCCATTACTCTTAATAAAGAAGCAAGGCTTCTGCCACCTTCAAATCACACAAGGTCACATGCTACCATCCCTGTCAGTCATGGCAGTTAGACTTTAGGAAGTTGCTAGAGTGATGGATGTGGACTGACTGCTCCTATGGGAAACAGCCTCTGGCCATTTGAATGTCCTCAGCTTTGTACAAATCTAAAACAGTTTTAAGGTGTAACAAAGTAACTTATGGTGTACAAATTCTAGTTATCAGATTTCTCTCTCTCTCTCTCTCTCTAGTTATGCTACTGTCCATAGTCTTAACATTAAGCGATAAAGTTCTGATAAACTATTAATCTAACTCTGACAAGATAGAAAACACCAAACTATACCACCATACGATCATTTGCCAAAAATACCTGTTAGTTTTCCAGATGGAAGGAAGACTGTTAATGCTTTCAACCAAAATTGTTTCTGACATGAGGGTGCTGCCATTTCTACAACATAAATTTCAGTACAATTTATTAAATGGTAAAAAATGCTAATGTGGCTAAAATTTACCCTTTCCCAAAGAATTCTTGCAAGTTCCAGGGAGCTGAATTGAACCCACCCAAACAGGTTAGATTCATTGCAGATAATTATCATTCAACCTTTCCCGGGTCCCAAGTCTCCCTTCCTTCATCGTGGACTCCTCAGGAACTCCTCCCTCAATCACCAGGACCTCAGAAAAGTTTTTGTCTTAAACTTAACTTTGTCCTCTGCTCTGCCAACATCTTGCCAGGTCTAAGAGGAACCATACAGCCTGGACAACAGCTAACCAGCTACCCCGGGACGTGACAGCACCCCAGCTTTCTCAGGTCCCCCAAAGATGTTTGATAACCCCCAGGGTCAGCAGGAAGTAGTCTTGAGAACCCGACACCCTCAATCTCTAACATGCTACACCTAACTCTTCACCTTTTTAATAATAAAGGTGGGAATGTAAGGATTTGGGCTTTATACTGGCCTGTCCCCTGTCCCCTGTCCCCTGTCAGTGCACTTAGGCAGTACCCTGCCCAGCTCAGGGTTCCATGGCTGCTACATCACTACATAGTCTGTATGCAGGTGCAAAGGATCCTTTAAAAGAAAAATACCAGCCGGGTGGTGGTGGTGGCGGCGGCGGCGGCGGCGGCGGCGGCGGCGCACGCCTTTAATCACAGCACTCGGGAGGCAGAGGCAGGAGGATCACTGTGAGTTCAAGACCAGCCTGGTCTACAAAAGCTAGTGCCAGGACAGCCTTCAAAGCCGCAGAGAAACCCTGTCTCGAAAAAAAAACCAAAAAAAAAAAAAAAAAAAAAAAGGAAGAAAAGAAAGAAAGAAAAAACACCTGCCCACTTCCCATCTCTTTCCAGCTATTCCCCTGTGGCAGACCCTCTCCTCTTCTGTCCTCTCTGTGTCTTTAGGTCTCTTTCCTTCCCCTCTCCCTTCCCTTTCTAGTAAAACTTCTCACGTAAGCTGTCTGCCTGGCATGTTTGTCCCTCTCCTACCTTGGAATCCACCAAGGTCCCCCACATGCTTTATTGTAAACACTAGTCCATACAGAACTGCTTAAAACTACCGATTTTTTTGGGGGGGGTTGGTTACTTGGTTTTTGTTGTTGTTTACATTTATCCACTTATGTGTATGTGTGTGTCGAGTGACAAAACTTGTCCTGGGGAGTCACTGCACACACACATGTCCACTCATCCGGAGAGCAAGCTCAGAACCAAAGTATGGATACTGTCAAAGTCCAACTTGGTGAACCAATGAGTTTTATTGGGATGACAGGAGCAGAAATGACTCAAAGACAGATGAATCACCAAGGCCCAAGCCAGCATGAGTGACACACAGCTCACAAAGCTGGGAACCTAGAGCACATTGCACAGATGGAGGCAGCTCAACAGGCTGGAGAGTGTCCTTTCCGGGTACCTCAGTTGGTCTCCACCTCTTCCGGGCAGCTCAGCTGTTTCTGCTCCTTGCAGGCAGCTGGTCTGGTGTCGGCATCTTCTTTGTAGTTTTTATTGTTTACTCTGGCAGGAAGAGCCCTAGTGAATCTGGTCAGCTTCAGGGACTTCCTGAAGCTAGTTTGAGTTGTTTACTTTCCTGTTTAAGGAGTTTCCCTGCAGGGTACAGTGTTTCAATCTGGGGGGGGGGGGAAGACTGTTACACAATAGTGGGTGTGTCTGCACAAATGTGTATGATTACAGGCCTGCAGGAAGCATGGAGTCTGTGTGGAGGTCAGAGGACAACCTGCCCAAGTCTATTGCGGTAAATAAGGATCAGGATAAACAAATAGGCCGAATAGATGTTTATTCAGGGAGAAATAACTTACAACCTAGACAGATGAACACCAGGAAATTCAACCCGATCCTCTCCTGTCCGAGTCACGCCAGAAAGAGAGAGCGCCTTCCTGGCCCCCTCCAACCTCCTTCCTCAGGTCACCTCCGCCCATCGCTCCACCCCCAATGGGCGTGGTCAGTGCTACAGAAGGACTATCTCACTACACAAGTCATTTCTCTTTACCCACCATGTGTGTTCTGGGGACCAAACTGGGGTCATTGGATTTGGTAGCAAGCACTTTTACCCATGGGGCCATCTTGAAGATCTTATTTTGGTTTTTGAGACAGGGT